GTTTCAACTTGCCAAAGATTAAAACTATAACTATATCTCTCAACATGCACTAAACCAAAATCAAAATGGATTAACGATCTAAATATTAAAACAGAAGCACTGAACCATCTTGAAGAGAGGTTAAGTCAATCTCTTGAAGACATTGGCATAGAAGAAGACTTCATGAACAAACCTCAGTGGCTGTGGAAGTAGCACAAAGAATTAACAAGGGTAATCTCTTATTAAAAAGCTTCTGTACATTAAAAAAAAACACCAATAGAGTGAAGAACCAACCCACAATGTGGGGAAAAATTTTCACCAGGTGTTCCTCAGACAAAGGTTGACTATCTAGAATATATACAGAATTTTAAAAAATCAGACATTCCAAATTTAAAGACCTAATCCTAAAATGGGCACCTGAAATGAACAGACATTTCTCAGACAAAGAAGTAAAAGCAGTAAATAAATATATGAAATAATGTTCAACATCACTTGTCCTTTGAGATATGCAGATGAAAACAATGCTGAGATTCCACCACACTTCAGAAATAATGGCTTCTATCATGAAATCAACCAATGATAAATGCTGGTGAGGCTGTGGGAAAAAAGGGACCCTCCTCAACTGTTGGTGGGAGTGTAGACTGGTATAGCCACTGTGTAAATCAGTATGGAGATACCTCGAAGAAATAGGATTGGAAGTCCCATTTGACCCTTCTATTCCCCTGCTGAGTATCCTCCCAAAACTAAAAGAATCATACCACAGTGATATATGTGCACCCATGTTCATAGCAGCACAGTTTGTAATAGCTAAAACTTGGAAACAGCCCAATTGCCCATCAATTGGAGACTGGATGAAGAAGATGCGGTTTTTCTATAAAATAGGATAGTGCTCATCCATAAAGAATGAGAAACTAGAGTCATTCATAGGAAAATGTTTGCACATTGAGGCCATAGTCTTAAGTGAAATATATAGGACACACAAGTGTAAATAACAAATAGTTTCTGTGATGTGAGTGTGAATGAGGACTAAATGGTATAATTGGTAATGTGAAATACGACAAAAATTGGCAAAGGGGAAGGGGAAGGGGAAAGAAAAAGAATTGAATTAATATGAAAAAATTAAAAAATGGAAACAAAGTCTTTGTAAATAGGGAGGGGTTGAGGGGTTAAAGGGAGGGCAGGGGAATGGGGAAAAAATAAGAACCAAGATGGATTATGTAAAGGTACAAATTTCCAGTGATGAATGTCATTATATCATATACATAAAATGTACCTATAAAATTAAAATAATAAAAAATAAGTGCTAAATAATCTTTCCTAGGAAGAATTTTGACTAGCCTATTTAAGTTATAAAAATAAGAAAAGTGATTATTATAATTCATCATGGTCAATGCATCTAAAAGTGTACTCTGACTCAAAGTAATTGTTTTATGTGTTCTGTATGCTTTCATGTCTTTTCATTTGCCTGCTAATCTGTGCCTGAAACTACTCAATTAAAAAATTTAGCTCTTATTAATTTATTTTTTCATTACAAATTTCTGACTCTGTTAGGACTTTCTACATGCACACACACACACACACACACACACACACACACACACACACAAAACCCTGCAGAGAAATGAGTCAGTCTAAACTACTTAGGTATTCACTGACCAAAAGGAGATATTAAGAGGTAAAGTTGCTAAACAGATTTCTCATTGTGCTGTGGAAATAAAAACTATTTCAGGGTCTTTCAAGGAGGAAATTCTAGAACTGGAATTAATTCTCAACACAGCCCTTAGCTACTTTCCCAAATGCTCTGAATTTAAAAACACAAGAGATGGGTTAACAGAATGTCAAAGCCATGTGAATAAATGATTAGTCATCTGAAAGATGAATGAATGTAAAATATCAAGACTAAATCATGGAGATTAAAGAGAGATATAGAAAATGTAGGAGAGAAAAAACATTGGAGACATATAAGATGGGGTGAAGACCAAATACACATGCAATTTTGAATACCTAAAAAATTTAGAAGTAATAAATTATTTAGGTATTCAAAATTACATGTGTATTTGGTTGAAAAGTATCCAGAACTTATTAAATATACCAAACCATAGATTCAAGGAACATAAATCACAGTAGTTAAAACATACCTCACAGAATTAGAGAAAATAAATCCTAAAATTTATTTAGAGCCTGAAAAGATCTGTAATAGTAAAAGCAATTCTGGGTAAGAGGTATCACAATCTTTGACTTGAAATTATATTACAAACCTACCATGATAAAAATAGCACAGTACTGGAAAATAAAACAGACCTAAGGATCATTGGAACAGAATAGAAGACACAGAAACAACTCCAAACACATTCAGCTATCTTATCTTTGCAAAGGGATGAAACACCTTCACTGGAAAAACTAGCCTTCCACATGCTGAAGTTTCAACCTACACCCATCTCTCTCCCATGTACTTAAATTGAAATGGATCAAAGACCTAAATATTAAAGCAGAAACATTTAATCTGCTGGAAGATAGAATAGATAAAACTCTTGAAGGCATAAGTGTAGGCAAAGACTTTATGAACAAAAACCCAGTAACACAGAAAATACTATGAAGAATCATCAACTGGGATCATGTCATATTAAAACACTTTTGCACAGTAAGGTAAACCACCAACAGAGGGAAGAGAACCCACAGAATGGGAAAAAAATTTTACTAGCTATTCCTCAAACAAAGGATTGGTATCTAGAATGTACAAAGAAGTCAAAAAAATCAACCCCTCCCAAATTAAAAGACCCAATCCAAAAATGGGGCATCTGAAATGAATAGATACTTCTCAGATAAAGAAGTACAAACAGCAAATAAATATATGAAAAAAGTTCAACGTCACTGGTCATTCAGTAAATGAAAATTAAAACAATACAGATTCCATCTCACTCCAGGAAGAATGGCCATCACCAAGAAATGAACCAATAAGAAATGCTGGCAAGGCTGTGGGGGAAAGGAAACCTTTCTCTATTGTTGGTAGGAGTGTAAATTGTTACAACCAGGATGGAAATCAGTACGAAGACTCCTAAAAATCCCAAAAACTAGAGGTTACATTTGAAGTGGCTATTCCCCTTCTAGGTATCTTCCTGAAAGATTTAAAAGCATCATACCACAGCAATATATGCACACCCATGTTTGTAGCAGCATAATTTGTAATAGTTATGTCTTGGAAATGACCCAGATGCCCATCAATGGGTGAACAGATGAATAAAATGTACAATGGAGTACTACTTTGCCATAAAGAAAGAGAAACTTGAGAAATGGATGCACCCTGAGATAAAAATATAAATTGGACGTACAATTTAATTTAAATATTGCATTGTTTTTCTCGTGAGAGGCACCCAAAGCATAAATAAAGACCAAAATGGATGATAGATATTGAGAAATAGGAAGAAAATGTTCAAATGGGAAGGGGAACATAGAAGAAGAGAGGAATGGGAAGAGAGGAAATGAGGATAAAAATACAAACAGAATTGTCTGCATAAAAAATAAAATAAATAAAAATTCTGACAGAGGAGAAACCGAATAAATGTTTAAACAATTGAAAAGAAAGCAAGAAGAAAGAGAAAAAAGAAAACAAAAGAGTAACAACTACAAAAGATATACATATAAAGTAGATATAAACTCAAGTGTAATTATGTAAATGGAATTAGTACTACAATTAAAAAGCAAAAATAAATAGAAAACCACCTACAACTGTATACTTCTTATAAAAGACAAAGCTTACATATAAAGAATTCAGATAAAATAGGCTTTTAACAAAGATGTGTTACTAGAGATGAAGAGGACATTTTAAAGCGTCAGGACATCAGGAAGATATAATGTAATTTTGTACAAACCCAATAAAATAGTTTCAAAATGTATAAAGCAAAATCTCATGGTACAAAAAAGTAAATGGACAAAATCAGTTGCAGGGAAAGATTTTAACAGCTTTTTCCAGTAACTAACATCAGACAAAATAAACATCAGTAGGGATACAGAAAATCTAGATAATTTAATAACTAAATGGACCATATTTATATAAAAGAACAATGTATCCAACAGTTTCAGGATACAATTGTTTCAAAGAATTTTATGTTAAGCTACAAATTAATATAACACAAAAAGCTCCAAATATTTGGAAATTAATATACATCCAAGTATACCATGAGTTAAAGAAAACAGTAGAAACTTGAAAAATGTATGGAATGATAATGAAAATATGACATATCAAAAACACGTAAATGATGTTGAGCATATACTTACAGAAAACATTTTATGAAACACATGTATTAAAGAATAAAGACAAATTATTTAAGCTTCCTTCTCAAAGCATTAGAAAAGGAACAACAAAGCAAACAAAGAAGATTGAATAACTGAAAAAATACAGATAAAAGTTTAAAAATTATGAAATTTCAAAATAATAGAAAAGAGGAAAGTAACAAACCTAAATGTTGGTTCTTTGAGAAACCTAATAAAACTGATTAACTCCTAGAAAGATTAATGAAAGGCAATGCAAAAATTACCATTATCATGCATAAAATGTAGGCTATAGCTGAAGATCCTACTAAAATAATAGTAAATTTACCAATTTATTAAAAACTTTGTCACTTAAAAATTCAGATAAATGAGCAAATTCTTTAAAAACACTTTCTTATCAAATATAACAAGAATTAAAATTCTAGTTAGTCCTATAGCTACTTAAAAAATTAAATTGGAAATAACAGTCATCTCACAGAAAACCCCACGCCACATTGGCTTCCCTAGTGAGCTCTTCTAAACATTTAAGAAAGAATAACCAACCTTGTGCCAATCCTTTCATAAAATAATAAAAAAGAAACAGTTCTCATTTTACAAGGACAGAATAACCTTAATTTTATAATCTAACAAGAATCTTTGCAAGAAGAGGAACACAGGTCAGTCTCACTAATGAACAGAAATACAGAACTGCTAAACAAAATTGGAAAGTAGAATCTGGAAATTCATTGAAAATATATACAACAATAAAGTTGAACCCCTGGCAATGAGCAAAGACACCACCTTGTTGGTGTTGTTCTTGAATCAGTGAGGAGTAGAGCAGATGATGGTCCTTTGTTCATCCAAGCTTGATGCCTGGGTTGGTGGCCAAAGCTGTTTCTTGCCTAGTACACAGTTTTTTAAAAAGATGAGTTTGAAGAGAGCCAAGTTGAGGGTCAGGGATGTAGCTCAGCAGCACAATGCCTCCCTGGCAAGCACAGAGTCCTGAGTTCAATCCCCAGTACCAAAAAACAAAGCAAAACAAAAACTAAAACAGGAGGAGAGCAAATTTAATTTATCACTTGAATATTAATGTAATTTAATACATTCACAGATTATGTCTATAGGTATTGAAAAGTAATTGATAAAATTCAACATCTTTTCATTGCTTAAAAGAAAAGAATCTCTGAGCAAACCAGATTTAGTTGGCTTAAGTCCTAAGGAAACAAACAAATTCAGAATGTTTCCCAGTTTGAAATATCACATGAGAATGCTTATATTATGAGCAGGATGACATGTATGAACCAGTTGGTAAAAATATCCACAATTACAAACCAGACATAGTAACAGCTTTCATTTATTGGATATTTACAATATGTCAGGCATTGTACCAATGCACTATCTCATTTAAATCTCACAGAAATCTATTGAGACACACTGTTACCTTCCTCTTTTTATAGATGAAGATGTAAAGGCTCAGAAAAGGTAAGTAACTTTCCCAAAATGACAAAGCATATTCAAACAGATCTGACTTCATAATCTAAGATTTTAATGGATGCAATCACCAGGCAAAATTTCCTTAGGCACCAGCATCTTTATTCTGTTTCTCTATACCATCCTCCAGAAAGGCTCACAGTGCATCTACCATTGCTCTCCAGGGCCCTAATCCTCCACTTATGTCTTCTGTCACTCTTTCACTTGTTATGATTCGCTTTCACTACTCCATTAAGGTTCAGCAGGCTATGGCTGGTCAGGTGACAAATGTAACTGTGTTAGCCACTTTCTTGTTGCTGATTTACAATATCCTATACTCACATCTTGAAAGAGATGAGGTTTATTTTGGCTCATGGTTTCAGTCGTGGTCAGCTGGCTCCAAGAGAGAAACAGGATTTCAGAGGGGCATGGCAGAGGAAAACGTGCTCATGCCAGCAGAGAGAAAGAGGTAGCCAGGGACAAGAATACACCCACCCAGGTCTTGTCCCTAGTGATCCATCTCCAATAGGCCCCACCTCCTAACTGCATTCATCAAGGAATTTACCCATGGATGAGTCTGCTAATGTTTTTTGACACCCCATGAGCCAATCACTTTTCAAACACGTGAATCTTTGGGGGACATTTTAGGTTTAAACGATGACAGTAACCATGAATAAATCTAACAGGAAAGAGTAAATTTAATGTCCAGAGCCTTAAGTTCCTGGAGTGGAACATAGAGTTCCTCTTCTGGTAAAAGAAATCCAAGAACTCTTAATTAGGGCAGAGATAGTTTGACTTTTGATTCACTGTCATGCATTTTTCATTTATCATTTTTACATTGTTTCCTGAAAAGAAAGTCACTTTTCTAAGTGTAGTCATGAATCTTATCTTTGATTTATTGCTTGCATTTTCTACCAGATTTAGGATAGTAGTTTCCTTATGGGAAGACACTATTGCTTTTTATATTACATTCTTATATGTAGAAAATCAAGATTAAAAATATCAGCAGCTGAGTCTCTGTCTTATTTTCCAGTGTTCTTGCTCTCAGTTCTCTATTTCTTTTAGGGTAAAAGACTTATGTCCTGGAAGATAAAATCAGTTCTCAAACAATACAATGAGTCATAGCAGTAGCTTAGATTTACCAGGATAGGTGGGCGTAGGAGACTAAAGGAGCTGTTGAACTAATACCACATATCCTGTCCTTCCACTTCCTCAGCAAGGGGCTCCAGTAACAATAGTTTGAAGAGGGGAAGGGAATAGAAGTATCTCCGCTGCTGGGGATGAAGTCAAACAAACCATGACTGGAATCCTGACTGTAACATTTAATTAACTGTGAATCTCAGCAAATAATCTCTGAACAACTTAGGTTTCTTTGATGTCTTTGCTGTTATTGGTGGTTTGTGTGAGTAATGGTGTGAGCAATTGGTGGCTTGTGTGAGTTTGTGTAAAACTTCCTTTTTGGTATATAATTACATATATCTCTTTTTATGGAAAAGGTCCATAATTTTCATTAGATATTAAAAAAGATATTTATGACCCTAATCTGAATATAGTCACAGGTCCAACAAGACATAAAAAAAACAAACTTTTCTAAATAAGTCCTTATGATTGCTGTAAATGAGTGTTATCATTTTTTTAGCTAAATGTTTAGAAAAGTGAAGGGTATCCTTCAAATACAAAATTTCTTTGACATATGCTATTCCTTATACAAAAATCAAGGGAAGTAATTAAGTTTTTTTCTTTACAGAGCCAATTTCTGCCTAACTTGTGGGAGGAAAAGTTGGTGGCAAGGATTTGGAAGCAGAAGGGAGATTTTCACTCATATTTTATACATCCTTTACACTTTCTAATTTTTTTCACATTTTACAAATTCTGGTAGTTTTATTTACAACAAAACATGGATGTTATTGCTAAAATATACTAATAGAAATGATCAGGCCATTTTTAGAACCTTGAAATAATACATAGGAATAATATTAAGTGTTTATTTATCTTACATTAAAACAAATTGTTTCTCAGACTTCCAGTCAGCTACAATACTGAAATGATGATGCTAAAATGTATGGTAGAGATGTTAAATTATTTTTAATTAATAATGACATTCTGTTCACTTTCTGAATTTTGAATTATACCTACTCATTATCTGTTCAAAAGTAAACTTTTAGATCAGATGTAGTGGTACACCTCTATAGTGCCAGAACTTGGGAGGCTAACACAGCAAGATAACTTAAGCTTGAATTTTTGAGGCCAGGCTGGGTAGCATAGTGTGACCCTGTTTTAAAACAAACAAACAGACAAACAAACCAAAACAGTAAAACAATACCAGATAACTTTAAAAATGATAAAGAGTTCTGAGAAACATTTACAGTGAATGTTAATATGGTCAATTTCTGAACATAAATCTTAAAATTTTAATTTTTAAACTTTTAATTGAGAAATAATCATATATATTTATTTTAAAATATGTTTATACCATGGAATAATCAAGGTAAGCTAGTTAATATATTAATATTCATAATCTCACCTATTAATTACATTTTTTGTGATGAGAACATTTGAAATGTACTTCTTTAGCAATTTTGAGATATATAATACGTGTAACTATAGTCGGCATGCTGTGTAATAGATCTTGAAAATGTGTTATTCCTACCTGAAACCTTGCATGCTTTGGTCAAAATCTCTCAATTTCCCACACTCCTATTCCCCAGCCCTGGTAACCACCATTCTACTCTTTACTCCCATAAAATTGACTTCGTTAGATTTCACATATAAGTGAGATTCTATGGTATATGTTTTTTTGTGCTTGGCCTATTTTGCTTAGCAAAATATTTTCCAGGTTCATCCCTGTTGTTGCTAATGATCTGATTTCCTTCTTTTTAAGGCTCTGTACTGTTCTAGTGGATATATCACATTTTCTTTATCCATTCATCTGTTTACAGACACTTAACATATCCTGGTTCCTGATTTTAGTTATTGTGAATAGTGTTTCTGTGAACATGGGAATGAGGAACATCTTTGCTATGACAATTTTAATTCCTTTAGATATTTATCCCAAAGTCAAATTGTTAGATTATATGTAATTCATTTTTAGTTTTTTATGGTTTTTAATCATAAATCTTAATTACTACAATTCAAATGGCCAATTTAGAGAAACCCAAGACTAAATTAAATATTTTATGAAAGCTAAGAGCTTCTAGTTGAATATATCCAAACAAACTCAAAGTGGAACTGGAGTGTGCTAGTTTGTCTCCAAATATTTCAGCATTCCTAATACTTCAATTTTGTTTCAGGCTATCAGGAAGTTTGGGTCTAATTACCTTTAGTGTCTTTAGAAACTATCTCTAAGAATATAATACATAGTCACTTGCTAGCCATATTTTGATTCTAGAGTGCAGCCCTCCTGTGATGTTTAGGCCTTCAAATTTGTCTAACCAGTTTAATGTGCATCATAAAGGAGCAGAAATAAGCCTTGTTAGGAAACATTCTCTTGCCTACTTGGCCTTACCTATTCTGGCTGAACACCAACAACTTAACTCAGGTTAGGAGCCACAGCTTGATGACACCTAAAGGGGTTCTTTAATTTGAGATTTTTATTAACACACAAATTGGTTTATTCAGAATGACCAAGCTCTGACTCTTAATTGGAACTTCATAAAGTTTTGATGTATTATAAAGTACACACAATGGATTCTGGAGTCAATTTTCAGTTATTTCTCATCAGGGCACTGGTGACAATCCAGTAGCTATAGTCTGAATTATTTTCCTATTTTGTGTTTGGGAATACTCTTGGTTCCTAAAAGAACTTACCATGCACAACTTTATGCACAGCTCACTTTTGTCTTCAGTGTCTTTATTTATTAACCTTAATTCCTTGCCTACATTTATTAAAAGAATCATCTGCAAGTACTTCATAAATTTGCATCTCCCAGTGTGTACCCCATGCTGATATTTTCTTAGTGAAATGCTGCAGACTTCTATTAGAGAAGATCTGGAAGTGGCCTCTGTTTTCTGTGCCTCTAGACACAGAGTTCTCTGTGTGCTCATGGTCAGCTCTCTTCTCTGCATTACTGGTGCTCTTTCTTTTTTGCCATGGTAGTGGAAGGGGCATTTCAAGCCTCTCTAGGGGAAAAGAGCCACTTTTTGTTAGGATATAAAAAGAAAACTGATTTTTTATTGCATACTCATGTTAAACCCCCAGAACTGGGTATGGTGGTATACACCTGTCATCCCAGCACACCAGAGGCTAAGGCAGAAGGATTGCCACAAGTTCAAGGCCAGCCTGGGTTCCATAATGAGTTCAGGCTAGCTGGGACTACATAGTATGATATATTCTTGAAAAAAAAAAAAGAAAGAAACCTAAACCAAGCAAGCAAAAAGGAACCCTCTGTGATGCAGAGATGGTTCAACACATGTGAATCAATAAATGTAATACACTATATTAACAG